CTTGGCCCATGCAGCCCTCCGGGGCTGGTGGCCCCACTTGGTGGACCACCGGGACCCTCCCGGGGTCCCGGTACATTACCGATAAAACCCGAAATTTTTCCGGCGACCAAAACAGGACTTCCCATATATAAATCTTTACCTCCGGACCATTCCGGAACTCCTCGTGACGCCCGGGATCTCATCCGGGACTCCGAACAACATTCGGTAACCACGTATATCTATTCCCTATAACCCTAGTGTCATCGAACCTTAAGTGTGTAACCCTAGGGGTTCGGGAACCGTGCAGACATGACCGAGATAACTCTCCGGTCAATAACCAACAGCGGGATCTGGATACCCATGCTGGCTCCCACATGCTCCACGATGATCTCATCGGATGAACCACGATGTCAAGGACTTAATCAATCCCGTATACAATTCCCTTTGTTTAGCGGTACGATACTTGCCCGAGATTCGATCGTCGGTATCCTGATACCTGGTTCAATCTCGTTACCCGCAAGTCTCTTTTACTCATTCCGTAACACATCATCCCGTGATCAACTCCTTGATCACATTGTGCACATTATGATGATGTCCTACCGAGTGGGCCCAGAGATACCTCTCCGTTTACACGGAGTGACAAATCCCAGTCTTGATTCGTGCCAACCCAACAGACACTTTCGGAGATATCTGTAGTGTACCTTTATAGCCACTCAGTTACGTTGTGACGTTTGGCACACCCAAAGCACTCCTACGGTATCCAGGAGTTGCACAATCTCATGGTCTAAGGAAATGATACTTGACATTAGAAAAGCTTCAACATACGAACCACATGATCTTGTGCTAGGCTTAGGATTGAGTCTTGTCCATCACATCATTCTCCTAACGATGTGATCCCGTTATCAACGACATCCAATGTCCATGGTCAGGAAACCGTAACCATCTATTGATCAACGAGCTAGTCAACTAGAGGCTTACTAGGGACATGGTGTTGCCTATGTATCCACACATGTATCTGAGTTTCCTATCAATATAATTCTAGCATGGATAATAAACGATTATCATGAACAAGGAAATATAATAGTAACCAATTTATTATTGCCTCTAGGGCATATTTCCAACAGCGCCTCCAACGTCGAGGCGGGTGCGCGGGGAAACCCCGCCGCCGCCTACCGCCGCGCGGGCGGCTGCCGGCGGCTGCGGGGGAGTAGGAGGGGAGGCGGGGGGAAACCGGCGGGTGGCTAGGGTTTCGCCCCCGAGTCGCCCGGAGCGGATGACGCGGGGGTGGGGGGAGGGGGGGCTTGTTTTGCAAGATTCGCCGGTCTATATCTATATCTATTAACCTATCTATATATCTATATCTATATCTAGATACCTACGGTGTAGGCGTTTGCCACTTTTGTTGGTCCCGTTGGGATCGGTCCTTTACCGATTTCGCAGTCGTGCGACCAAAGCCAGACGAGACTAATTTAATGATGTGCGGGCTTCACGAGTCCAACAGTTGTCATTACACAACCAACACCTAGGGGAGTGGCTGCTTATCAGTCGATTGAAAATTTTGAAGTGGTCAATCGATTTCATCTCAACCGTCCGATCAAGATCCAACGTCCATGACATCATCTTCCACCTCGTTCTCTTCTTCCTTACCCCATCTTTCCCCAGCCGTCACCACGGACTACCAGCCCCCGCCCTCCCCAGAACCACCC